CAAAATGGGTTGATCCCCTAGAAAGCTGGCATTGTATATGAACATCAAAAATGTGACAGAAAATCTAATCAAAGTTGGCATCACTTCAAAAGACTTCAACAATCTAAGCATGAGAACGTAGAATGCAGCAAATGTCAAAAACTAGGTTGAGGTTACAACCCTCAAACAGCTTTCAAAAACCAACAATCAATTTTCCCACGTCACAATAATTATGTGGTTGCCGCTCCAGCTGCCAAGAAACTCTGGAGGAATATTTTATTTTTAAGACTCGTCAGACCCCGGGTTAGATTACGAGGAATGAATAGCATTTAATCAGTGCATCTGGTCAAGCCTCTAGCTACTAGGATTGCTGTCACCTAACAACGGCCAAGTTGTCAGGTCCAGTTTGCTTGCAAGTTCAAGGAAACTTGGCTTGACAAATAAGAGACTGTAACCAAGACTTGGAGGCAGAAACCCAGGGAGAAGTTTCTGTTTAATGAAAGTGACAACATTTCAAGAGGTATTTGAGTTTGCGTGTGGTTTTTGATGAGACACAGAGATATTAGGAATTCTACAGGGTGATTTCTGGAACTGAGACTTGACGGTTACGTATGTCCCCTGGATTCTTTTGGGTTTGGACAAAAACTGACAGTGTGTTTGGAGTTTGCTTTAGGTACTTAGGCCTAACAGGTTCATAATCTAGTTATGTTCAGTTTAATTTGATTTCAGTTTGAGGGATAAAAACCATTCAATGAACCAAATCGATTGACGGACAGAACAAAGGACAAAACCTGAAGAGTGTTTGGTGCTCTTGGGAGAACAGGTCAACTTCAGATATTGAGTCTTGACAAAACTGCAAACTGAATTATGAGCGGGAACTGAATATTCCTGCCAAATCCTGCCAGATATTGAAACTACATACAGTGTACATAGCTTTCCATAAAATATCTTCTTGTTTTGTGTTTGGTAGAATGAATTTGAAACTTGGTCAGAGTACTACCGGTAATCCTAAATCTCCACAGATGTTATTTTGGAAACCTGAAGCAACTTATTTTTCCCCAATAAAACACTATATCCTGCAGGTACATGAAGTCCTACATGTACACAGTGATGTGTTTATCCAACCCCCCCCCCCCCCCCAAAGAAGCTTTTTTTAATCAAAGCATTTAATTTGTTGAGTGGTGACCTGAACTTATTTCCCAGGGGACAATAAATGAGTAAATAAATCTGTTGATGTTTAGACACATTGACTTACTGATATTTGCAATCTTACAGATAAGTTTTCAATCCAGATCACCTGTTTTGTATGTGATTAGCAATGAGTTATACAATGCCCATTGGCCTACACTTCTGTCTGTTGATCATATTCCTCAAGCGGACAGCCAAACAAAAAAAAATCAAAAATCTTGATTTTTTTTTAAAAAGGAATAATAAACTCTGGTTTTATATGTACTGAAAAATGTTTGGCAGGGAATATTCAATTTGCAGCAATGCTGCATGTTTTCAGTCAATGTGCAAGCCATAAAATATTTCTCTGGACAGGAATCGAAAGTGGGGAAAATATGAATCCATGAGAGACTTATGGATGAGTGGGCAGGTATGACAGATGGGAAACAAACAGGCCGAGGTCAATGTACGGCAAGTCTAGAATCCAGTGGATTTCTGGTTCTTTGTATCAACTCAGCACAGTGGTTATGGATTTGAAAGAACTCTAGACCCACTTCTTTGAATTGTAAGCACACTGGTGTTTTTCCCCCTTTTTTTAAGCAGGGTTAAAAAAAAAAGGAGAAAAGTTCCCCTTTAATGCTACAAGCCTGCAATTTGGCCTTCTTGGAATCATATAAAAAATATTATGCCTGTTCATCAAAGATCTTTTTTAAATCCTTGAAAAACAGGTCAGTGCCAAGGCAACCTAGACCCAGGGGCAGCACATGGATTACATCAAAACACCAACACCTATGGCATAGAATGAAATATCCTCAGACTATAATAAATGAGATCTGTCAAATGTCCTGACACTCTGAACCCCTCACAACTGACCACACAGATTCTCCTTTAATAGTACACATGGTCATCCTGTTGTTTTTCTGTTTTGGAGTTCAGTTTTCTTGCAGGGGTAGGAAGCAGGATGTATCTGGCCAGGGCCTGGGTAAGATTTACAAACCTTAGCTGTCACTTGAGTTGACATGGGTTTCAGGTAAAGACTGACCAGATGGTGTTGGGATGTGTTGATTGCTTTATGCAATGGACCCTCTCTTTGTTTACTATATCTGAACAAACTAGAATGAAATGCTTCTGGATATATAGAGGCCCATAATACTGACAATAGTTATTTCAGAGAGTAGATTGCTGGATTCATTCAGGGCTTCATCTCAGTTTAATTGACTGTTGAACTCGCCAAAAAATTGTTTTTACAGAACAATATGAAACATATTCTTCTATTTATTATTTTATTCAGATGAAATCAACAACAACATACATAACACATAACACTACAAAGATACGAAAACAAAGGACAGTTGATTTTGTCTGAGATAGCCAAATAGGCCATTTGCAGAGGCTTATTTCCATTAGAGTCCCATGTTGCTATCATTAACTTGAAATTGTGTATCCATTCATTAAATGTGATCTGAACCAGTTTTTCTTTTTGGTTTGCATATGATTTGAAAATTTTCTATACAAATGACTTTTCACACAGAATAAATCTGTTTCCCCCACCCCATGTTTTCGTTTGTTTTGTACATGTATATATTGTAGGCCTAACTGTGCACTAGCTAGACTGCAAACACCCATAAGGCGGTTCCATCTGGGATGGACTGCATGTAACCAATGACACCCAGTCCCTCCCCACCCACACCCAGTCCCTCCCCACCCACACCCAGTCCCTCCCCACCCACACCCAGTCCCTCCCCACCCACACCCAGTTCCTCCCCACCTACACGCCAGACCCAGTTTGTGGCAGTCTTCCCCTTGCCCTTGTTTATTGCCTGTTGATTTCTGTTTCTCGTCTGTCAACTCAGCTCTCTTTCAAACCCGCCCAATATTTGGTGGTGATATGCTTCACTTGTAAAGAGATCAAGGAATGAATACCTACCCTGAGAGGTTTATGACTTCAGACTGGTAAAAAAAAAGGGAATTAAATTTGGGTTGACATGAGCATATCTTTTGTCGGGAATAAAGTAATTGTGTGATGGATGGATAGTGTGAATATCAGTGCTGCTGAACCTGTCTGTAGCAGGTGTAGATATTCAGACTTTTGAAACTTGCTTATATGCAACATGTGTATTTTCATCAGTAATAATTCTTATAACTACCGGTAACAACCCATTTCAGACTGGCATTCCAAAGTTGCAACGAACCATAAGGTATTTGAAGTGACTCAGGTCAATCCAAATACACTTTTGTTTCAGACAAGCAAACTTTATGCATTCCTTTTCTATTGATTAGAGAACGGTCTGAAATCAAAATGCTGTTTCAAATCGTTCAAACGATTCAAGACATCAGTCAATCTTTCAATGCAGTCACTCCAAACTCTATCAAACTTTTCATAATGGATTTAAATCAAACCTCATGAATAAGTTTGGTTTATAGCACGACTCTGGAAAGCTAGTTTGGAACAAATGTTTGGAGCTTGTCTAGCGACATCCTGATTTTTGGATGGTAGTCTTCATGTGCCACAGGTGAAGCATATGATGACTATAGCTTTCTACTCATCTATAACACTACCATGTTCCCATCCTACTACTCCTTAGGGATGCAGACCACTAAATCGACTACCATAGACCTCAGTGATAATTACACGTACTTCCAAAAAGTATTAAAAATACTCGAAACTCTCCAAGGTGTTTGAGATAACCATCAGCTTATTTCATCATCTTTCAATTTTTGGGTGGTAATCCAATGACTTTTGGGAGAAAAGTCCATTTAAAGATGATCACCCAAAAAGTAAGCCTGTGGCCCATCGCCATTTTAAAAAAATGATGCCTGCCCTCCATTCCAAAATAGAGCAATTTTAGGGCCCAATTTCATCTGAATTTCACAGATATACGAGCTCGCACTCTTGTGCACGGCTTCCACCCATCGTTTTTACAAACCGTCAAGTTCATGGTCCACAAAATGCTCTAAAAGTAAAAGCAAAGAATTTGAGGGCATACCAATCGTGATTTGGCCGGCGTAGGCAATTCTGGGCCTATTTACAGGTCTGCACCTTTACCCAGATGCCATCATTCCCACTCACACAGTATCCTATTCATCTATCTCCAAACGTCCAATCTTGTTTTTCACCCATCTCTCTCGGGACTATTCTTCTCCATCTTCCTTCCCACTAAGACCCCACCGTTACTTCCCTAATCCTCCTTACTAGATCCCCCCACTGAGTATCCTTGTACAATCAGACCAGCGTCAGGGCTTAAGTATTAAGGCTTCATCCCTTATTGTGCTCTATTCAGCAAGAGATAAAGCTTACAGACAATTCCTTGCTGCACATCCCTAGTGGTGTTAATGGTGGAACTCAGCAGCTGCTGCAATCATAATCCTAGTAGTCCATTCTTAGGATATTATTCCAAATTGCTTCGGGTTTGATCACCTATTACTTCTCATTTTTGCTCTTCAGCGAAGCTTTGTAAGAGCTTACAATCAGCAGGGTTTATAGACAAGCTCCCAATTTATTTTAATGGTTAGGTACATATAAAAGAACAAGAAAAAATTGTCTCAATTTAGTCTGTTAGCGATAAGCCCACACACATACATTGGCTTGGACTGGCAGTGTGAAACCTTCTACCTAGAAAACAAAAACCGATTTACATGTACATATTTGTTTAATTGTTAACCTTTTTCCTAGTTGTTAACCTATTCCCTAAATTCCTACAAAGACTACCAGTGTAGGGTACACTCATACACATACAACTCCACATCTTCCACGTTACTGTGCACTAATATATTAACATCTCCTTTTCACAATGAAACTTGGGTCGTCTGAGGTTCCCTTGTCAAGCTAAACTTGTACCGAATATGTAACTTACCTTGTGAGTTCATCCAACGACCATTGATGTGGCTGGTAATAGCTGGAAGTCAAATTGAATTCGTCTAGATTCGCTCAGAGACACGCTTTTGAGGCATGCTATGATGAAGAATACCTAGAAACACAAACAACAGAAATCTCCATTTGAATTGATGGTACCATGTTAATTTTTTGAAAGAATATCGTCATACCACATACTGATATAAAGGCATGTGTGTATGTATCTTGTGTGTCATGCCAAAAACAAAATCTCAATTTGTATGTCACTATGTGTAATGCACAGGATGTGAGACTGACAATACATGTACATGAAAATGGTTAAATACTGGTAAACACATCTACATGTACCGGTAGTTTAAAGGAAGGGACCTTTATTGTCACCAAAGAAATCTGTCGTCATCTTGTCTAGATGATTAATAAAAGGTAATACTGGTACATGGGTACAGGTGTTTGTGCATGGGCAACGGAAAGTGCACCGCGTACAAATTGGCAAACACAAACGGTTAAAATGTAGACCTAAAGAAGATTCAAATTATTGAAAGCCATAAAATTCCAAAATGGTCCACTTTCGTGCTATAATTAAAGCAGGAGTATTTCTACTTTTCAACTCGTATTTCAAACTGAAGAGTCAGCCACCAGGGGCAATCATGTTCTCCAACCAACCAACTACATGCTGCACTAAAAGAAGTTCAGGCTGTTTACAGTTTCTACCACGTATCTCAGTTCACATTGTCAACCATTAGGACCCTGAATGAACCAACTACGTGTTTGTCTCTCACCTACTGTCACATCTACTCAGTGTGCACCAGTTACTGGCACCATTGCAACTACCAAGCATTGTTCCACACTGGAAAGCTGAACAGGGACAGAAGAATTGTCCCATAGTGTGCCTCCACAGTCCGGCAATTGGAACATTCCTTTGGGCTAGAGCTGGGGTATTGTTGGAAGGATTGTCCAACTATTATAGGGACAGGACAATGGAGAGGGGCTATAGATGTATACTGAGTAAAGATTGGATTGGGAGGGGGGTTGGGGTGGAAGGAAGGAGTATAGATGGGGGCCAGGTCTCAGGTGCAAACTGTAAACAAGACAGCTTGAGGGATTAGAATAGGTTTGTGTGTCTTCACAGTGGACCGAGATCTCATCATTGACAAGATAACACCAAACGATGGACAATGTGCATGGCAAATAAGATGCATTACAAGTGAAAACATGGAGAGTTTGTTTGCTGTAACTTGTAGCGCTAATGGGAAAAGAGATTTATAATGTAGGAATCTTGTTTACGGATGAAAAGTTCTGTGGAAATTAGATTATTTAGTCCTTCAAGTATGCAATCAAAGATTGTTGAAGTACATGTAGCTTGATATTTCTTTTAACAAACACTCACTTGAGAGTTGTAAAACAATTTGAAGACATGTTTATTTGATCCAAATAGTCCACACTCTCCAAATTTAGAGAATATCCCAAAGGGAAGGGGGTAGGAGTGTCAAGTTTACCTGTCCCCAAATCATCATCCCTAATTATCTTCCTTCGGTGCCCTGCTGAATCCAAACAGAATCCTCTACGACCTTCAATCTTTACATATGATCTTTATTTTGTGATGATAAAGGAAAACAGAAGAACTGATACTTTACATCTTTATCAAGCATCATTCTGAGATACTACTTCAGCGAAAGGATAAGTCACATACCAGTAAGAGTTGAAGAGTTAAATGTAGTCAGTTTAGTGAGTAACCAGCATAAAGCTGTGTGTCTCATCATGTTTTTCTCGCATGTTTGATGACACAAATTTCAACTAACATTCCAAGCTTCAATGACACTACAATGTGATGCTGTAGGCTAATTATTGGCTGCTTCATACTCCAGTGCAAAAGCAAATGCAAAAGCAATTTGCGACGTCATTGCAAGTACTGGCAAAAATTCAACACATTTTTCAAACTCTGGTGAATTTCACAGCGAATGTTTCGTGACATGCAATTTACTTCCAATTCACATTCAAGTAAAGTATAAACAAGCCTACAGACCAGCTCATATTTAAGTTCATGACTTTTCAGTACTTTCATTGTAAGTACTACATGTACATTGTAAGTACTTGATTTTCATTGCACTTCTGCAAATAGTAATGTACTATAATAAGCCACTCTACTTACACCACCGATCAGCTCCTGCCTAACAAATTTCTTGTCAATCCACTATCTCCATAAAGAGTTCCACTTTGTTTCCAAAAGTTGTCAATAATGAGGATTCACAGAATGGTAAGAGTAAATATCCAATAAGCATCCAGCACATGAACGATAGATCTGATCCAGGCAACCTTCACAGCACTACTGAAGCCTGCTACTGAATCCTACCACTGCTCATGTCAGAGTTATAATCACGTCTCTTCATCTCACGCCTGATGCGTTTAGATCCTACACTAATCCTAAGACCAGGTCTTATCCTGCTATTTGAATAGACAGTCAGATTCTTTGAGGATTCCTTGAGTTTGTCTCAGCGGTGGTTGGATGAGGATTGTCGCTTCATTCCCCAATCATGTGTTATTTGTTCTGTGCTGTCCAGTCCATGACAATAGGGGAATCCCATTCACAATAGCAGCTCTGACAAGGTCTTATTGGGCTCCCTATCAATTACATTATGGGACTGTGGACAGCTTTAAGGCTGAGTGCAAAAACTTGGGCAACAAATTGTTTATCGATTAATCAAGAATTCCTGAAATGGCCCCAGTAAGGAAACAAGGTACAGGAGCAAGCTGAACTTGATATGAATTCCTTGAATCAAAAAGATAAAATACTTCTGGAAAATAACCAAGAAGGGAAAACACCCAAAATTACCAGTGACAAGTTCTTTAATCAATTTTTGTCATCGGAAGTCCTCAATTTATGATTTTGGATGAGCATACATAATTTTCATAAATGATATTTGAATCAGTAACTTGTACCATGCAAGCCAAGTTGTTGACAAAATCTGGTGAAAGTCAATAAAAAAAATAAGATTTCAACTCTAGCATGAAGGAATTCAAACAATTAACAGACACATGTGCAGTAATGGTAACAACTTGTGTAACATTTGGTCAATTCAACATAATTGACATTTCAAACAATTTCAGGCATCTACTTTGAGACAGATCAGGCACTTTGTTCTGTTTCTGATCACAGTGAAAGGCAACTTGAATCAGACTGTTATTATCAATTCATTAATTGATAGAAGCCACACCTTCACCCAGCGAGCCCACATCCTTCTCCCCCACTGCTGAAGGAACAAGACAACTTTCTTGAAAGACTCCACCGAGAGCTGCGTTCATCCCGGCTTGCTCTCTATTCACTTCTTCTCTTTTCTTCCTTAAGGCAATTGGGTCTGGATAATAGGGACGAAACAGTTTCAAAACTCTGGCATCCTGAGCAGTGGGGTTCTGAAGAAAAAAAAGACATTGGTTTGTCTTTTTTCCCTCTTTCTTCATTGATTCTTTTCTTGTCTTGCTTTTGGACCACTAATTCCTTGTGATGGCTGGCAATTCAGGGATGGGTCGGTGGATTCTTCGAGAAGGGGTGCTAGAGTGGTAAGGGAGGGTTAGTAGGAGAAAAACAACCCAAAAGAGCAAAACGGTTCTTTTTTAAATTGACACTTCTAAAACACAATCACTTGATGTCCAGAACTATCAACAATGTGATAGCACCCAAGTCGGTATGACGAATGAATACATTCTTATCACATGTAGAAAGCAAAGACTCAACAATATTTGCATGTATCTTTTCGGATGCAAGGAGAACATGATTTTTATACAAATCTCAATTGTGGAAACTCAAATTTTGGAAAGTAAAAAAAATAGTAAATAACTGTAAAACCTACCTAAAGTGATTCCTTTTTTAGATTGATAGTTTTAATTTGAGAAATACTTTTTCCCCCAAGTCCTCGAAACAATTTTCTTCATAGTATTTTCTCACTTTTTCCACGTGCCAAACAGTAGTTACAAAGTTCGGTCAAATGAAGATAAAATGTTTCAAAAAGCTTGCAGTAAATTTAACAAGGACCCCTGATGCTAACTAAACCTTTCAACAATAAAACTTCTCCAGAATAGTTAATCCTTCCTTTCTGACAACATGTGTGTCACTAATCCTGTACAACCCAAGAACGCTTCCCCTTCTTTCCTAATTCTATTGAAATAACCACTGCTGCATGCATACTTAAGGCACACAAAAGAGCGCTTAAGTCGAACTAAAAGGAACTAAAACAATCTTAAGACGCTTGCAGTTTCTTAATCCCTAGTAACAAAGACTTTTTACATGCCAGCACTTTAGACAGAAGGTTAGCCAATGGAAGACATGCACAGGGATGATGGGATTAGGTTACCATGGCAACCGGGCAGAGACTTTTCAATTCTGTGGTTTTGTTCAGACAATCAAGTTCTTAAGTAGACTTTGTTAAACACTGATCCATAATCCTCTTTGAGGGAAAAAAGTTCATTGATTTCAACTGGATGGAAGTTGTGATGATAGAATTTTTTGTAAGCTTGTCATTTTATAGGGAATGTGTAGATTAGTTTGTAATAGAAGTAAGAGTTAGTGGGATTAAGTTAAAATACTCTACTTTAAAAAAAAATGTACATCATGTTTTTGTAAAGTATTTGAAATAGTGATGTAAATATTTCTGGTACGTTCATGTAATGCTGAAATTATCAGAGATTAAAATGTCACTTTGCTGAATACATTGATCTTTAAAGGAAATTGTCTTAATTCACCCAATCAAATATTTATAAGGGCGAGAAAGTAACAAAATGAAAAGAGAAAGATTTTCCTTTTAAACGTAATCTTGTGAAGGTGAGTTTTCAAGACTGTTTGAATGCATTACCAAACAGATAATTTTCAGTAGTTTGCAACAGGCATCTCAGCTACAAAACCCAACCTGCCTACCTATCACTAACCAGTGGGTGTAAACCTACATGAATTTTTAATGAAACCAAATCAAGTAGGCATTCCTTCCTTTTCAATTTTTCATCAAAAGGCGCCAACCACAATACGTGTATTGATTATGTCTTAAATGTGATCATCTGTCTACCATGCTGGCTATTTACAAGATCTTATTCAGTAACATAGGATGAAGTCTAGGTGTTACACTTGGA